AGCCTCTCTCGGCAGGCTCATCGCTTTGGACTCACGGGACCCGTCCCACCCTTCCAAGTCCCTCCGACGTCAGAAGCGGAGGGACAGGGCAGAAGCTTCTGTCCTGCCAGCAAGGAGCACACCAGCTCCCCTCACCGTGCACGTAGATCCCTCACCTTGGTGCGATTTATACCACACGAGCACATCTTGCTAACACTGAGGAGGGAGCCGGAAAGACCGTGGCTCACCAGAAACAACAAGGTTTGGGACTAGTTTTGCTTTTCAAGGAGGTTCAAATGCAGAGCACAACCTTATCGCGAAGATGGGGGTACGTCTCCACTCCCCGCGACCCAGCAGCACCACCTCTCCTTCCAGATGCCTTCTCTGCTCCCTCTCACCTGGTTGCCCCATCCTCCCACAAGCGCATGCTTTGCAAGAGCTGGCTTGCATGGGGACAGAGCCTTTGCAGCGATAACAGACCTTAGTGCAGGCAAAGGACACCTGCCAAATCCAAGAGATCACGAAGGACCATACAGGACCTTTTTAGAAGCCCATTTTTAGCTGCAAAGAGGCCGATTAGCAACACTGGGAAAGAGCTCTGACCCTGCCAGTGCAATCCGGAACTTCAGTACCCATCCTTACACAGCTCTTCGCAAATTCTTTTTATGTTTGAGGAGAGGTTGCAAAAATAAATCCACAGGTTTGTGCACAACCTCCAAAGGAAGAGATTTAAGGTAGGCTTTCTGAATCTTCATCTAAAATAAAGAAAAAACAACCACCAGTCTCGTTGTGATGCACATACACAAAAGCAGGAGCATTTCCAGACTGCATGCACTCCCATGTTTTCTCAAGTAACCACTGCTCCACCTACACTCTCCAACAACACAAGAGTATTGATAGATTCCATCTCAAACTCAGAAGCAAGCTGGGTGTAGCAGGTTTTACAGGTATACAAGAAAGCAGTGCTGGGATTCCTCCCATTCCCTCTCACTACCCAATCCTCCCCTACCAAAAAGAAACCTTAAAAAACAAACAAACAAACAAACAAACAACAAAACCCACGAAACCCCCAAACCAGAATACTAACTCCCAGCTAACAGCAAGTGCTACACTTGCTACAGAAAAGCAGGGGTAAAATCCACTGTGCACAGAGCTGCCGGGGTTCCCCTGGGCATTGGCACTGTCCAGCTGCGAGCAAACGCCTCTGAGGTCAGCAGAAGAACCCGCTGGCTTCTTATATACTGTGGATCAGGTCATCAAAATACAGCAGAACTACCAAATAGCTGCTAGCTTGTCCTACACGTACTTAAGAGTTCCTACTTCAAAAGAAGCTTCCGAACAGGCATGTTTAGGGGCAGCTTTCGGGCAAGCCTTCAGCAGCAATTTCTGAAGTGCTTAAGTATCAAAAAGGTTTCCTGCCACAAGAGGGAAGGAAGCCCGGCCAGGTGGGGAGGTTGCATGACACCCCACGCTATCTGCGAGAGGAAAGCACAGGGGACAAGATAGATTAATCACAAGTTAACTAGGGGAACTCAATCAGCTTAAATGTGGCAATCAAGGAAGATACATGGAGTGCAGGGAGACAGATGGTTGTGCGCATTTATTTTTCTTTGATAAAAATGGTATGCAAATTACACAGCCATGGAGGCTCTTGGGGAAATATCACCCTGCTGGTCCTTGGGGAGTTTCTTGGAGAGTCGTAACATTCAAACACACCAAAATGGAGGCGGGGGGGGCGGGGAATGGAGGATGGATCTAAACTGGGAAGAACATGAACTTCAACATTTTCCAGTGAAGCAAAAAAGATCATTAACTTATTTTTCAATTTCCTTTTTTGTTTTTACACTTTCAGGAACGAGCCTAATGAGCACAAGAGTCAACAAACCCCTGACACCACTGTGCAAGAACTAAATTGCTTGGGCAAAAACACACCTTTCGAACACGTTCTTCAGCACGGCACTTTCAACTCAAGTTCAAGAACAGCAAGCCTGACCCCTGAAGGCACCTAGGCTCCTTTACACCATCCCAAGAGTGTAAAGAGGCCATACTTCAAATAGAGTTTTTGTGCACATTAACCCTCTACCAGGAGATCAGAAGCACCTGTGTGCAAGAGACACAGGCTCAGTTCATCCAATGGAACATTAAGACAAATGACATCAGAAATTTCCAGGTCATTTCAATTTTTTCTTTTGATCCATTCCCAATAAGATGCTGGGAGAAATAACCAAAAACCAAACTTGGCTCAAGTTTTAAATATTTGCCTGTAAGGAGGGCTAGGGGAGGGAATCATGTACAGTTAAAATCAAGCTACTCAAAACACAATCATTCAGGTAAGTAACTAGAAGTATCGCCTCTACCATCTAGAGAGAGAGAAAGAGAAAGAGAGAGAGAGAGAGAGAGAGAAGAGTGTCTGAGACAGAGGGCATATTTAGGAAAAAATACACATCTGAAGTCTCTGTGGCCACGATGAGAACTGGAATCCACATACAAGCCAGTTAAAGAGCATTTCAACATGAAATCTTAACTTAGTAGGAAGGTCAGGGGTTAAGCTGTGTCTTTTTGTTTTAAATACATGGACAGCTGTCAGATATGAAAATGATGGTGGGCTTTCCTGAAAGATCCCCCTGTGCATGTGTATGGATGCATGTGCTGACGTCTGTGGGGCAGCATGACAAGAGTTTAGGAAGGCTGGGAGCCCAGCAGTCTCTCAATAGCTGCATTGATGTCTCCACCAGTGGCAATAAGCGCCTGGAGGTTGGCCTCACGATTAATGAAGCCCATGGCGTTCAGCTGCTCCAGCTGCTGTTGGAATCGCACTTCAGGACTCTGCGCCTACAGGGGGAAAGGACAAAGACCTCAGAGTCAGACAGCAGGGATTAACATCTAATACGGGCAGGGCCAGCAACAACAGCCGAGCAGGGACCATAAGCTCAGCTTTAGGCATACTGAATTACTCCAGGCTCGTTTAGTGATGTTACCCACCTCCCCACATCGCCACAAGCTTTGGCACAGCAGCCACCCTGCACACAGTTAGTGCAAGTTCTGTACCTACAGTGACAGCAGCGCTGGGAGGAGGATCCCTGGCACTCAGCTTCAAACCTATGCAAAGGGTTACTACCCCCCAAAGAACTAGCCAGCCTGAGACATCAAACTTAACATAAAGCACCACAGCCAAGAGAAACCTGTTGGGGACCACATCCCTGGAGTGGGGTGGGATTGGGACAACCTCTAGCTCACCCTGGAGATGTCCCTCCCCAGAAGCTATCAGCATGCAGCTGGGCGTTACATACTTGAGAGCTTCCTCCGGCCAGCAGCTGGATCATCTGCTGCATGAGCTGCTGTTGGGGGTTACCACCCCCAGCTGGAGAGGCACTGGCCGGCGTCGAAGCGGAGGGAACGGGGTTCTCCGGGATTGTGCTTCCTCCTGTGGAGGACGGGGGCATTCGAGGCATGCCGAAGGAGCCGAGGCTGCAGAGAAAGGCAGGGCATGCTCAGAGGCAAGCTGACACTTCTGGGTGTCCCCTGAGAGCTGGGCAGCATGGGAACCAGCAGGCTCTGCCAGGCTGGCCCTCACTGAGGCCCATACTACAGGACAGCTTTGTAAATTAAACCGGCTGCGTTTGTATCCTGGTCACACACGGTGCGGGGAGTAAGCAATCCTTCCAGAGGCACAGGCCTGAAAGGAACTGCAGAGACTGAACGTGACCCAGAGAGCAGAAGGCTAGAGGGATGCCAGCAGACCAGTCTGCCCCAACATACCCACCCAACCTTGTCACTGTGCATCTCATGCTGTTCTCCAGAGATAAAATTCTTGAGTTCAGCCAATACGGAATACCGCAAACAAAAGATGGGCGAGTGACCAAGTGGTTTCCAAACCTCCTCTCCAAAAAGAAAGGGTCAAGGACTTACAACATGAAGTTACAAACAAGCAGAAAGTCCTAACTAGCCGGAGCTCAGAGAGGTCTGCAGGCACACACACACACGCAGAAGTCCCCATGACAGAGTGCCCTAAGCACGTCTCCTCGATGAATCAACAGCTCGTCTGCCTGCTGGTATCAAGCATGTCAGCTCTGCCTGCAGAAACCCACTCTAAAGCGCTTATTACCTTGGCACTAGTCCTGGGGCCTCCGTTTGCAGCGTCTGGAGTCCCTGCTGGATCTGAAGGAGCGCCTGCATGGCGCGGGGGTTGGTGAGAATGGAGAGGGAGTCTGGGTTCTGCATCTGGGAACAAAGGCAAAAAGACACAGCGGTACCAAACAGCGAGAGCTTCAGCAGACAGAGAACCACCAGCTTTAAATCTGAACGACAATCAGCACAGAGCTGCGCCTCTCACCCTGCAGCCAGAGCAAACCTGTGAGTCTGGTTCCTCCTTCAAGTCTCCAGACTGCAGGGCTCATGTACAGAGATACTCAGAGTTTAGATCAAATTTCCTAAACGAACTAGGTAAATCAGATTAGAACTGGGGGCACATGCCTTTGGAACTAAAGTGATTTTATTTGATTTACCTGAGTGAACCAGCTGCTCTAGCACAATTAGCTGTTTTAATTTTTGTAAACTCATTACAGTAAGAGACTGTCCACACGAGGGTTTCATGTAGCTTAACTAGTCTAATTTGAAGTCCACCTTTAGGTAATTTAGATTACTTAATTTAGATTGTCTTGTCTAAACAAGCTCTTCCTTTCTCTCTCCCCCGTGCAAACCCCTTTCTTTCACAGCCCAAGCCACCCAAGCCCACATGCTTCCTAGTCCCCTTGACAAAGCAGCCGAGATACTCTCCCCTTCCTACAGAGGATGGAAAAGCTCTGGAGCCCGGGGGCTGAGCGCAGCACAGGGCCAGACAGGGGCCTTTACCTGCTGCAAGAAGACAGGGAGCTGAAGGCGGAGCTGTTCTTGAAGCTGTGGATTCCCAGCAAAGAGGGGGACATTTACCATGATCTAGCAAGAGACAGCACACGTAGGGTAGGGTCAGAGGGTTACTGCCACTGGCTGTTAAACCCTACGTAACGAAGCCATGAAGAATAAGTCAGTCATGCCCCTGACTCCCTCCCTGGGCTTTCAACCTGTTCCCCTGCTAGTGGGGCCTGAAACAGGACAGCTCAATTCCTGGCAGCAGTGCTGAACAGGGGCCTTTTGGCCACGGGTAAAGAGAAGGGCCATTCCCGTGTCCCTTTTAAAGCCACCTTTTTTTGTAAGGGGCTCTGCTAAGACACAGGGTTCAGTACTGTGACTGCCTTCAATCTTTCAAGAAATAGAACAAAACTGTCTATATTCACTCAGCTCTCCAGTTTCTGCAAGAGGAACCACTCGCAACTATAGAAGCAGACTGGTCTCACAACTGTTATGCTCACGGCCTGTCTGACAATAGAAGACAACCGTAACACTTTTACCTGTGCTGCAAAGTCCGGGTTCTGGGCAAGAGTTTGCATCATGCTCCGCATATAAGGGGCAGAGATCATGTTCTGCATCAGCTGAGGGTTTTCAGAAATCTGCTGCAGGAGTCCTTGCATCTCTGGGCTATTAAACATGCCTGCAAGGGGAAAGGAAGAGAAGACAAAGGAAAACCCCTTGCAAGCCTGACCACTGCCGTAATGCCTGAAATACAACATGACCTACAACAGCAATGCCTTTACTTCATCCCCTGGCCAACAGTGAATACCGCTGTGGACGGTCACGGCAGTGCTTTGCCTGCCACTCTCCTGTGATCTCGAAGGCATACCAGAAATAACCCATTTGTGCTTGTAACTGGGCCAGAATCATTCACCTGGAGAGCAGCCACAGACAGGCACTCAAATGCCAGAGGCAACCACCCTCCAAGGAAGCCTGGGTGACCTGTTCAGTCAGTAGCACCCTCTGGTTCCTCTCTTGCTTACGTACCAGCCCCGATGCTAGCAGCATTCAGCCCAAAGGGGTTGGAGACAGTCGGTGTGCTTTGGGTGGTTGCCGAGCCAGTGCTCCCTTCACTGCTGGGCGCCTGGCTCTGGGAAGCAGGGGGCGTGGGGCTCCAGGGGTTCGGTAACGGCTCTCTGTTCTCGGTCCGCAAAGGCTGAGAGCTTGAGCTATCAGAATTCCCCGTCAAGGAAGAAAAAGGATTGTTGCCAAACTAGGAAAGAAGAAAAAAAAGAAATAGCCGCAATCAGTTAGCCCCAGCAGAGAATGTTGGACTAACCCCACCACTGTACGAGCTAGGGAACAGCCGATCATATTCATCCAGGTCCAGAATTTGCTAAACACATGCCATAATTTGCCTCCTGAGAAATCTGTAATCCACAACACACCTCGCTCAGAAAAAGACCGGGCTCGAGAAGTGGCCACAGCCCCAGATTTGGCTCCCAAATGCAGGGCTTCAAAACATCCATGTAAAATCAGCACCCGGACATACCAGTAGGTAATGCTAGACTGGAGTATGTCTGCACAGCCTTTTGCAGACAGACCTGCGCTCACTCCTCCTGTGCTTCAAGCCAGCTGGATCTCAGCCAGCTCCAATCCAAAGGCATCAGGCTTGAGCTAATACAGTAAGCCGGGCTGAGAGCAGAGGGCTGTGCTAACGAAGCTATGGGGCCTTCACATGGGCGATGGCTGGCATCCAGCCTGCTTGGAGACCAAAGGAGCGAGGGCAGGTCTCTGCTCGGATACAGCAAACTGTGTAATAAAAGCACAACGTTCTCCTGCTAGTGGCTGCATTCATCATCTAGAGCGGGAGGGGATGAACGGCCACGCTTTGGGAAGGTTGCCCTGTTAGCATGGGGGTCAGGGAAAGACCCCTTTCCCATGCTCGGCACACTACGCCCCACTTACAGGAATGCAGCCAATACCTGCTCCCTGGCTGCACTAAACATGGGCTCCTGGATGTCCGTGTACATCCGACGCAGGGCGTTGTATCCTCCTGGAATGCTCTCAAGGTTACTCAAAGCACGGTCCTGATTCCGCATCATCTCCTGCATCATGGCAGGGTTACGAGCCAATTCCATTGTCTGGGAGAAGGAAGAAAATGTGGAAAGCTTAGGCCCATGTGCACCATGGAAGACTGGAGAGGACCAAGAGCCTGGTTAGCAGCCCAGTGGTATTCTACTGATCTACCAGCCAAGCACTGAAAGAGTTAAATCTCAGCTCCCAGAAGAAAGAGTATAATTAAACCCGTTTCACAGCCAGAGAGCAGAGAGATCATTTATCCAAGCAAAGAGAGCCCAGGGATCCTGGCTCCTCCCATCCTTGCTCAGCTCTCTTCCTTCTCAACCTCAATTCAGCTGGATGAGATTGTTTTGTTTCTAAGCAGTATCAGGACATCCAAACATTTAACACCCACTCAAAGGAGATGGACTGCATTCAAAAACTGGGAAGGTAGAAGAGATTAGATCCTTCCCATTGCAAGAAAACCAAGAAATTCACCCTCTCCAGACTTCTGATGGGTCTCCCCTGCACAAGGAGCAAGCAGCTCCTCAAATGAGATCTGGATAAGTAGAGATCATACACAGTTTAGTCCTGTAGCTCTGGAATTTCATGTATGGCTGACACAGTTGAAAGAAAGATAACTGAGAAGCAGATGGAAACTAGGCTCATTCATCAACAACCCAGAAAGACCTCCTGACAAGTCTTCCTGGGGGAACAGCAGAGTCCTGTCCAGGGCTATTTATCACTCGGGCTCCCACTCATCCCTTATGCTTCCCTTCTAATGAACTTTCGGTCTTCCAGATAGCCACTCCTCTAGGGCATGGGTCCTTTCTGTTCTGGGATTGTACAGAAAACAGAGATCTCTAGGATCCCAGCCTACAACTACTGCGCTCTGCTGCTGCAAGTAGTAGAATATTGACTGTACAGCTCTGTAGTCTATACTTAATCTATCACGAGAAATAGAAACAAAAAGCTTTTGCAGTAGCTTCACTTCTCCATGACTGCTTTTACGCCCATTCCTGAATCAGAACACAGTAGCCTTGTATGCAGCACGCTAGCATGATCCCAGCATCCTTTTTTGCCCAACACAAGATGGATTCAATAGCCCTGAAAGGGAGATAAGAGTTGCAAGTATGTGGGTTGAGTAATCAGTATTCACATAACTCAAGACCACCATCTGTTTGTGGGGAGCTTACAGCAGGAAGGAAGAGATCTCTAAAATCACTGATCTGGCATTCACGCACTCCCTTTGGAGAGCACGCACTGAAGCTGGTCTACAAAGATGCTATTGAACATGCTTTAAACAGGCCCTGGGTGCTGACTCACCTGCCTCATGAGCTCCGGGTTATTCAGCATGTGGCTTATCTCTGGATTTCGCTCCATGAGCTGCTGCATCTGGGGATTGGCCATGATCATCTGTCTCATGAGGTCAGGGTTAGACATCATGTTCTGCACCAAGGGATTCTCCATGATCTGAGAAAGCATCTCTGGGTTGGACATCAGCTGCCGCTGCATCTGCTGCTGGAGCTCCATGAAGTTGGCAGAGCCCATCCCAAGGTTGCCCAGCCCAGTGATGCCGCCAAAGCCAGCTGGAGAGGGAACAACACACGGGGAGAGAGGCGTGAATCAGTAACTGTCGGCAGCTGCAAAAAGAGGACAAGCACATCAGCTGAACTGCACCCACACTAATCTAGGGGTATCCCATATTCCTAAGGCAGCCAACTCTGAGGCTACATGTTCATGCTTCACTCAGGGCTTTGGCGTTATCCAGAGCAGGGAAACGGATATGTGCTGGTGGAAGTGACTCATGCAAAGCTTACAGCAAGCAGAGACAACCACAGGGGTCAAGAACCCCAACTCCTTAGTCTAATCCTAGGAAATTCTGCTTTCATGTCACACCTTCTCACAGCCATCACTTACACAGGATGGATGTAGCACTGTTAGGGCCTCCGTCTCCAGGACCCCCCATGGTCCCTGACCCACTGCTCCGTCTGCTGCCACTCCCTGCGTCAGAAACGGCGCTGCTGGATGTGGAAGGCTGAGATGAGGCAGCAGGAGAAGAAGGGGTTGCAGTGGGGGCAGAAGCAGCGTTAGGGGCAGAAGAAGCAGATGTTGAATCTTGGACCCTGCAAAGAAACAAAAGGAGGCATTAAACTCCTGAGATTCAGGAACGGTGAGCAGAGTCCTCTGTGGGGGACACAGGACTGTGCACCCCACACTGACCGAGCCTCCCTTCGTGCCTGTTGTCCCCACAGCAGCCAGCTCTGGCTGCTTCCACTCCCGCCTGCACAGATGCACAGCTGCGCTCCCAGATGCCTTCCATCTGCTGGAATCTGCCTCCCATCCTGATGCATAACAGCCCCTAACATTTTATCCTGGCCCACACGAAGCAGCTTGACTGGTCTTACATCGAGTTGTATCTAGCTCTTCCTTGATTCACACTGAACTATTTACCTCAGCTATATCCTTGAGCAATGAGTTCGCTCCAAACAGGAAAATCCTCCTGCTGCTGCCACAGAAACCACAGGAGGTTACAGCAGGGCTACTGCATGGGGTAAACACGAATCTGCTTTTCTGAAAACCCTCCCATGCACTGAATATTCCTACCAGTGCTCCGGGCAGCAAAAAATAAGTATCAGCATTAGTCTACAGATAGAGAAACTGAGGCACAAAGGGCAGCTAGCATCTGTCCCATGAAGCTACAGAACGTCTCTGGCCAGCTTGGCTATGAACTCACACCCCTGCCACTGGCCATACCTTGCATGCGAGGCTTCTTCATTCAACACAAGTTGACTAGAGCTTCTTTTAATACACACATGCAGATACTGTGCCATAAGCCACAGTATAGCAGACGCTGGACATCAGCTTTATTGAGTAAACCAACCCAAGCTAGTACCTTGCAATCACAGTTCCTCCTCAGGATTTTTACAGGAATTTGAAAGAGAACATTTAAAGATTCTCTGAAGCATCTGCAGTCATGACAGTGAGTCCTGAAGAGCTTTCACATGAAATTAGACCACAAAATTCACATTACTTGCCTCAAGTAAGAAATGCTATTATGCTGCTGACAAGTAAATAAGAACAATGATTTCTTGATTCTTTTTTTTTTTCCAAACCAAGAATGATTCCTTTCTCTAACTCCCTTCCCTTTTTCACTTTTATTCCAGCACTTTAAAAATCAAACCTGAAGGTACCTGTACACTTACCAGACTCACCTGACTGCTGCTGAAAACCAGCAGCCACTGAGAGGGAGGCAGAGTGGGGAAACAAAGCAAATAGGAAGCTGAACAAAAGAGGAAGAAGGAAGCTGGAGAAAGGTCACTTGATTTCTCTTAGCACAGGAAGAGGCTGTAATGTCTTCAGTAAGCACTTATCTATGACTATTAGCAGGGAAAAATTGAGCAACCCAGGACAGCTCCCTCATGAACCGTTTCAAAGGGTAAACAAGTATCATAGTTTGCTGTGGTAAACAGCATCAGCCGATCAGGCTACCTGGAGATGCAGAATCCAGAGAGAGGTTTCCAGCAGAAGCTGACAGTACATATGCTTGTCTTTGTAAAAAAGCCAGGGGAGCACTAATCTTGACTAAGCCAGTAAGACAGCTCTCCCAGGGGAGAGCAGAACTACACAGAGAGACACAACCCCATTAGTTCACCAGGAGCCTGATATGGGCTGCAGCGGGGAGCCCAAGAAATGGTTGCAAACGGGGTTTCGAGATCAACAAGATGTGGCTGCACCTGAAGTACAGCAACTGTTCCCAAGAACCTTCTGTGCCCACCACTCCATTGGATAGCCCTGGGAAAAGCCTAACCCTGCAGGACCTTGTGGTCAATCCTGTGACCCTTTCTCAGGCAGAACTACATGGTGCAGACGGATGCAAGTGAGCTGTGTCCAAACTGGGAGCTACCACAGGGTGGGCCCACAGTACCGTACTTGAGCTAACAATCACACCGCCGCGTGCACGTGGTCATACGGCCTGAGCCTCCACGCATTCCCATCGAGCTGGAGCACCCACCTGTCTGCAGACACGCCTATAGGTACTACACAGAAACACTGTTCTGCCCTACAGATAGTGTTCTGCACACGTGATGTGCCTCCCACGGCACCTGAGAGAGCATGAGCACAGGCTCAGAGCAGAGATTATGATAGGAAGCGGAAGGAAAACTGGATATTAGTTTCAACTTCAACACAAATTCACTGGGAAAGTAATTTCTGTTAACAGCAAATTATCTTTGTTAGAACTACTATCAAGTTCCAATGGGTTCTTTCAAGATTACTGCATTATAAAAGCTCAAAATACACAAAGCCACATACACAAGTGTTATAGAAGAGTCAACCCCCCCAGGGTACTTGCCACAAACTTACACAGCTGTGTAACCTAGGGAAAGGACAGGCCAAGTGACAAACCCCACAGCTGCATGGCAAAGCCGTGGCAGGGAGAGAGCCTGGGAGAATTCTCCTGCCAGATCACCATGACCAGGCTCGCACACACCCCAAAGACAGCACTCGAGCCTCGCACAAGTACTCTGCTTCAGTCACCGATAGGGCAGAAATGCTGCACCACTGTTTATTCACATCATCCATTTACCCTCAGCCCACCGAAACAAAACAGTTTCTTACTTTTGCGGAGTCTTAATGACCAAGTGTACAGTCAGCCCATCTTTGATCCCATGTTGATTCAATGTGTCTCCATCCTTCAGGATCTTCCCAGCAAAGATCAGAACCAGCTGATCCTGTTTGGCTTTAAACCGCCTGGAAATCTCTTCTTTGAACTGAAAAACAAACAAAGCATTTTTCAGGCAAAGGACCGAGACCAGAAATTTAAAGCTAATACTCCAGATATCACATCCACTATGCAAACAGCATAAGGAACTGACAGTCCTTCAGTACCTCACCCAAAAGGAGCCCATGCAGGTACCAATTCAGTCACCAGTTGCTGAGGATGTCTGAGGCATTAAGGAAAAAAAAAACACAACACAAAGACAAGCTCTACACTTACAAAACGTGGAGGGAATTTCAGAAAGAATAGAGCAATTACCTCAAGAAGAGCTGAAGGCTTCCAAAGCAAGATCAAGTGTGTCTCTTAGGTCTAATCCAAATACACCATTTATCCTCTGAATGACTGAACTGTTTTTGCCTCTGCTCATTTGATCTTTTTTTTCCTAAAGAAAGCTCAACTCTGATTTAATACAGGACAGAGCTCTATGGAAAAGGGAACAATCCTTTATCAGCCAATGGAAATAAACTAGGTCTTCTCCAAGTCCTATTTCTGCAGCTGAATTCCCTATGAGCATGCCATGCCACCTAACATGGACACCTCTTCTTTACTGTGTGATGGGGTGGGATTAACATCTGCCAATAACATGGTCATTGCTAGCCCAGCTGGGGCATTCCCAAGTTGATCTGCGAGGAAAAAAAGCCTTGCACTGGGAAGCCACAAACTACAGAAAATTCAGAGGGAAAGAGAAGCACACACCTGTCCCAGAGGAGCTTACAGCCTTCACACCAGAACTGTCAAAAACAACGCCCAGGAGAGCACAGCCCTGAGCCCCAGGTCATCCTGGTCGCAAAGCTTCATGCCCTGCTTTGCACAAAGCCATCACTTAACATCTCGCTTATACTGATGGGCTCTCAGGAGCCAACAGGGAAGAAGCAGGAGGGCCACAAGTCCTACAGCCCCTGCTTAGCCCACAACTCTGCTCCCCAGAGATCTCCACCAGGTCCTTCACACCACAACCTTGTGCCCTACACCCCAGATCAAAGCACACAGCAAGCCA